AACCATTACTGGTTGAACAATGATGGAAAAAGATGCCAGTCTGGCTCGTTAACCCGTAAGATCACTTAGAGACATCAATGTATATTTTCCACCACAACATTTACCAAACCTAGCACAGCCTATTGTTATTAGGGTACCCTGTGCCCACTTAGCCACCCCTTAATATGAACTGGGGAGGAAAAAGGATTCCCCCCCCCCTCAGTTGAGTAGTCTGAAAATGTACTTCTGCAACTCTACTCCACAGGTAAAACACAGGGTATGTTCCACATCACTACTAAAGTTGCATAAACCCCCAAGACAGTGGTTTTAAACTGCCTCTCCTGAGTATGTTTGAACTTAAAACTGCCCTCCTGGAATAGGAACTTGGTTGCTTTGTCATGGTGGAAAAAATCCCATTGAGTCAAGAAAGCTAATACAATCACCAAAGTCAATTAAAAAAAAAAAAAATCAGGATCTTATTCCCTTCAAGCATTTGGTATAGCATTGTGTTTACAGCAATCGTAACACCAGTCTTTCCAAGCAGGACACATCGGTAGGCATGCTAAAGTTTTTCTCTTGTAGAGAGAAGACCTAAAGGTCTTACGGGCATAGGAACACTGCAAATGAACATGAAGTATGTCATGTCAGCTAGTAGTGTCATAATACTGAACAAAAGTTTACGCTTCCATGCCTCATAGTGAAACCAGAACAAACTTGGAAGTGTTTCGGGTCTCAGTCCAGTTTGCCTGAACATTTGGTTTTATTTACAGATTCTCTAGCAAGGGCAGCTTAATATCTCCATAGGCAGGCAGCAAAAACAAAAGCAAACACAAAAGCAAGCAGTCACCACATAGTACACACTTAGCATCTCCATTTTAATTAAAATGCTTTTCCAATAGGCAGGATGAATCCTTCCCCCAGGCAGATTATCAACTCAAACCTGTCAGATGCTAAATTGAGGTAGATGATTTACTTCTGCTAAGTGAGGTAGAACTTCAAACAAAAGATAGTGGCATCTCTAGTTGTGCATTTTGTACCACAGCAAACTGGGTTTCAAACTCCCAAGGACTCAAAGACCAAAGGTACAATATTTGTCTAACTCAAGTACCAGTGTTCCTTTTTTATACAGTTCCAAACTGTTTGTTAAATATATCTACTTTTAAATACCCTATTACCTTTTGGCACCATTTGGCTTACACTCCTTTAAAAAATAAACAAAACTTTGGCACAGTATTTTTTTAACCTAGAACTGAACAATGAAATCTTATGATCAAAGTTATGGCAAGATGAGCCTATAAACCTTCTCTCTTCAGAAATTAATTTTGGTTTAACTGTAACATAAACAGACTGGGCCCACTTTCCTGCAATTCCAAGGGAATGCCACATCCAAGTGCCTCGTTCTTTCTCCCACCTTGATTATGTCTGGCCCCAACACATATTAGTTTTCAGGTACTGCCTTCCTTCCCTTGCTTTCTTTAAACGTTTAAGGTTTATGGGCTTCCTTAAATAAGTTATATTTAAAAGGTACTAAATAAAAAGGAGTGAGTTATCTGAAGGACCTGTGTTATCGAGTACTGAATCGGCTTCAGTTTGCTACTGAAGTTCCTGCTTAAATAATTCTGAGAAAGGACAAGATTGCTCCTAGGCTGAACACCCAAACCAGCCATACTGACTGCTGACAACATTTTGTCAAACAAAAGGTTTACCTAGAGCCACTGGTTTAACCTGGCATAGTGAAAATCCTTTGGGAGTTCTAGCAGACAGTTTTGTCACCCACATTTGCTGTTCCCCAACGCAGAGGCACATGCTCACTTCAACCTTTCTCCAGGCTATTTCCCCTAGCTAAGAAGGTTACTCTGAATGCTTATTTGGTTTGCAATCCAGTTTCCAAGCCTTGCTTTTCCTTTCTGCATGTATGTTATGATACTTGGGCATTAACCTGAGAACATGCATGGAAAAGCACAGCAAGATTTGAATCTCATTTAAGTCCATTACTTTTTAAAGGCCCCTATGGGGCAGCTGATGTTGGCATTGTATATTAGCACTACTTCTTTTCATTGCATATAAACCACTCCATTTTATAAGCTACACTACCACTTTTCAATGAGACCAAGTGTGCTTAGCACTATCTATGACAAAGATAAGAAATTCTTTTTGGGTAGCTAAATAGTAGTGTTTTTAAAACGAAAAAGCTCCTCAATACATGAGGTCAAACACTTGAGGTTCAGTTTGCAAGCAAATCCCACTGAGTTAAATAGACAGCAACTTATAAAGAGTTCAAGTCACTTCTCTTCCTGCCTGACCTGGACTGGGGGTTTGTGCGATGGCTCCATACAAATCAGCAAAGGGCAACTTAAGTGTCTGACACCTTCTACGCTGTGCAGGCTGGAGAGGGGCAAAGGGTTCCTCCAGTCCAACACAATCCTGACTGCACACTTCTTTTTTTAATGTCTGGAAAAACAACTCCCTTCTAGCCCCAGAAAAGGGTGAACCTGACAGTCATTAAAGCACAAGAGCATTTCTAGGACACTCCAACACTGTCAGCCACTCTGGTCAAAGTATTAAGAGACCTGGCATTTTCATTAAGACATGATAGGATAAATGTGAGGACACTGCAAACTATACATTAAAGCTTTTTTAACCAGTTTTCTTTGGTATTTAGATCTTGAAGGGTATTAGTTTTCAAAGCCCATGTTGCTGAATTCTTGGGCTGAATAATACAAGACAAACATGGACATCTGTCACAGCTGTAGGCCACCCCCAGGAAGGGAGGCATGTTCACAAGCAGAACTTGCAGAAGTTGATGGTAAACTAGCTTTCTCTCATACACATATTTTGAGTGGCCACAGAAATTTAATGACAGACATCCACAAAAAACATCATCCTTTAAAGACTGTTTTTAAACCATGCCATCCTAAGATTAAGCCTAACTGAAACACACTGCTTTGAAGAGTTTGTTTCCCTGAGGCTTTGGCTGAAAGGCAGCACAGTTGTTTTATCTCATTTAATTTAGGTGTTTTTCCTCACCCTTCTTTAGAAAGGTTTTGCCATCTCATTAATCTTTGTCTCCTTCTGGTCCTTTAGTTTAAACCTCCTCTAAAGTGGCAGCTATATCTGTCTGCACACGTCATCAGTATTTCTACAAAACCCAGAAAGTTAATGCTCCTTGGAGGGAAAAGCAGCAAGAAGGAAAGTGCACCTTGTGATTCTCACAAACTTGTAAAGAGCCTTTCAATCTCAGGTCACTTTTGTGCAGGGTGGCTGGCAGAGATGAACCCTTTCCTTGGAGGATGGTTAAGGCTCTTCAGACTTTTTGACAATGACCATGTTTATGTTTCAGAGATCTCTTGCAAACAGTAAGGTGAATCCTGTGGCATTTCCAAGCCTTAAAGAGTACTGATACAAGAGTTTTTCCACTGCAGAGAGAAAGAAGAGCCCTCTGTTCCCTACTTTAATGATTCTTGTTTGCCAACAACAGAAGGTGAAGCTACACATCTGTAGAGGTCGTATCTGCATTAACAGCTAAACTGGAATGCAAGAAATTGAAGAATAAAACCAAATCCTTCCAGGGACTCAAAGTCACATTTTGCTGAAGAGATCTCTATCTTCCCCAAAGGTTTCTGCTTTTCACAAAACGCGTTTTTACATCCCCAAAAGGGCAAACTTTCCATGCCTCCAAGCTTTTAAGGATCATATACGTGGATTTTACACAGAATTCTTTGGTACTGCCCTGGGAAAAAAGCAGCAAAGTTTCATCTTGATGCAGTTTGCCCTTACGCTGGTACTGATAACTCTTCACTTGGATCTGTAGCAAGAAATCCTGTAGCAGGGAGCTACAGGCCCACCCTAAAAGCTACAGTAGACATTCCTAAATTCTTCAGTCCAGCTCTTTGGGGAAGCCAGAATAAAAAAAAAAAAATATATATATTTTTGTCACTGATAGAGTTATTGCAATCCTCTTTAAACAACAACAACAAAAAACCTCGATCAGCTGACTTCTCCAAAACACACCCTGAATCTCCAAAGCTGTGCTTATTTCTTACTTTTGGAAAAAGGTACCACTTCTGTTCTAACAAATTCAAATGTTATTTCCCTTAAAGTCTCTCTCTATGGGGAGGGGTAAAAAAAGCTAGTAATTTCAAAGAAAGTAAATCAAAAGGGTTTTGATTTTCCCTGTTTCAATGCTCCTTGTAACCTCTTGTTACCCAGATTAGGTGCACTGATAAGAAACACTAACTTTTTTAAAACTAATTTAGCTTTCAGGTGAAAAGGAATAAAAAGAAATACTCAATGACAGAATACATTAAAGGAAGCCTTGCTTTTTATCTAACCTTTACAACAACAGCACTAAGTCACTAAAATGAACAATTTGGTTTAAACTTAAAGAATTTTTGTGCATTTTCATCAGCTTCACTTTGTGCTGTTATATTACTGTCTTTCAGAAAAAAATATACAGAAATGCCAAAAAGATGCAAACTTGCTCTTCCCGGCGAGTGAATCGCGCTCACTTTCACAAAACGTTCAAAGTCATCTGGGAACAAGATGCTGTGCTCACCAGTAAATCAAACACACTGAGGTATAAAAAGGAGAACAGGAAAAAGTTCTCTGCTGCAGCAGCAATTCAAAAAAAAAAAAAAAACCCAACAAAACAAAAGTTCCGCCCTCCCATATCCCCACCCACAGAACTGTAGTATGGTCAAGAAAAACAAATTCTCTACAAACACCTACTACCATTTTCTCCACTTAAAAACTTACATAGCGCCTTTTTTGGCTTAGTCTAACAGAACTCACCACACAAACCACCTAATGTGCACAGCAACACTTGTTTGTGCATGAAACCCCATTGGGGGGAAAAGAGGTAAAATGTTCTGAACTATGAGTGTGTGGGGATGGGGAGAGGGCGAGAAACTGGGGAGGGAAAGGAGGACGATGAGGTAGATAGAATTCATTTTTACAGGCTCACTCCCTGCAGAAAAGATAAGTACATTCATCTGTAAAAAAATTAAAGATGAGGTAGGTTTGAATTAACGTTGTATTTTTCATTTTCTCTTAGAAGAATTTCCCTGAGACAGTTTCTTCCTAATTCAAACACAGATTAGAAGACGAGAATTCGATTGTTTCCAAAGTCGACCACAACAATCATGCCATCAGGGGTGACAGCTATACCTGAAGGACGGTCCATCTGACCAAAGCCGCTTCCCTGAGTGCCAAACTTGCATAAAAAGCTACCATTTGACTCGAATATCTGCACCCGGTGGTTTCTGGAGTCGGCCACGATGATGCGCCCTTCTTGATCCACCGCCACTCCCTGCGGGCGCAGGAACTGGCCATTCCCGGTGCCCTCCGAGCCCAGAAAGCGTGCTGACTGGCAATCTGGATGGATGACCAGAAGGCGATGGTTGTTGAAGTCTGTCACTACCAAGTGGCCCTCGTGATTGAAAGTCACACCTCTGGGGGAATCAAAGTGCTTCCAGAGTGCCCCTTCGAAGCCATACTTGTTAAGGAACACGCCGTCGGGCCCAAACAGCTGAACGCGATGGTTCCTCGTGTCAGAGACCAGAATCTTGCCCTCTGCGTTGACGGCCACATCCCACGGGTAATTGAATTGCCCGTTCTTCGTTCCTTTCTCCCCAAACTTCAGAATGAACTGCCCCTCAAATGTGAAGATCTGGATGCGATGATTGTCCTTGTCAGCCACAACGATCCTACGCGAAACGTCGCAGGCCACGCCGGCAGGGCGATCGAACTGTCCTGGCCGGCAGCCCAGCGTGCCAAACTTGTGATGGAAGGTCCCACACGGCTTGAACACCTGGATGCGGTTATTACTGCGGTCGGCAACAATGATGTAGCCTTCTTTGTCGACGCTGACCCCCCAGGGGCGGCAAAGCTTGCCGTCGCTGTCTCCCTCGCTGCCAAAGGAGAGCCCCGGCAGCCCAATGCCTATGTAGCTGCGCCCAGACTTCACCACCACTTTGAAGGGGCTGTTCTCAATGTGTTGGTTGCACATCATCACGGACACCAGGTGCTCTCCCTCGAGCTGTGGACGGTAGCTGACCAGGTAGGTCCCATTTTGCTGATCGCTGACATCTGCCCCGAAAAGGTTTCCATCTGGGCCCATCACCACTGCAGAGATCATGTCGCCTCCTGAAAGGCGAGGCTCACCATCGTGGTCGTAGCCGATCACGGTGAAAGAGGCCACTTTGCCCTGCAGCGCACGCTTGAGACCTTCCCCAGTGGCTTTGGTCAGAGGAGCAAAAGCCCCACTGCTGACAAAGCCCATTGATTTAATGGCCATATACAATGCCTGGTCAGGGGGAGTGAACATGATCCTGTCGTCTTCCTGTGGCTGGAGAAGGCCTCTCACATTCTTCAGCTCCTGCACCTGAGCCAGCATGCGGTCCCGAGCCAGAAGAATATCCATGGTACGACCCTCCTCCAGGACCTGCTGAACAGCACTAATGGTGTTATCCAGCTTGTTTAGGTTCTGACGTAACTTTTCAACTTGCAAGTAGAGTGACTTAGCCTTGACTTGACGAATCTTTTCCACCTTGCAGGGGACAAGGGAGAGAGAAAAGCACATTTACATTAGGAAAGACAGCCCACACCACAGACATTACCTAGTGTCACCCTTCTACATAAAAACAGCTGACCAGGTGTTAGATCACGTTGACACCGCTGCAGAACAAACCTCCAAAAGCCACAATGTAGACAAGTAGAAATGAGGAAAAGTAATTAATTATCCAAATTCAGGATTATTACTATTTCCTACTCTCCACGCAAAACCATACATTCTTATCCTGCAGATCTGCTGCAGAGTGCCAGTTGAAAGGGAGAGTCACTTGCTTACTAATAAATATTTGCTTCCTCAAATGCTATTCTGTTTTCTAGTTGCAAGGTATTTGACAGATCAACTGAAAGCACATCTCATTTAGCCCCCAGGGAGAACAGAGGTTACCACAGGCTCTCAAGAAGGAGCAGAGGCTGAGGCTTCGCTAACCAGAATTGAGACCAACCTCAGAAAGTGGACTATTATCACACAGAGTTGAGGCTCAGAGTCGGCATCAGCTAACACATGTGGGCTCCTGTCATTCCCCTGCCTGCCAGCAATGTTTTCATCCGACTAGCAATACCAGACATTTATCTCCAGGGATTTTCAGGGTCCTAATATTTTAATATTTTCTTGTAAATACTGGCAGTCATACTGAGCTCATGCTCTACAACAGGATGCTTTGTAAATGTCACTTCAAATGACACAGAAGGTTGCTGCCAGTCCCTGTTTGGGGGACTGAAGTTTGTGCAAAAACGATTGGCTTGTAACTCCTTTATATAAGCCTCTGTTTATCTTTACTTGTGAAAAACCACTTTGGACCATCTGGCAGAGACACCTGCTTTGTGAAACTAATGAAATGTATTTGCTTTTTTGTTGCAAAAATACATTTCCTGATGTCTGAATACCTACTTGGCTGCAGAACAATACCTGAAATGTATTTTAATGAAGGAAGACTCAATGTCTGAAGACTCCTTGGCTATGCACTGTCTAGATAACATATGTACAAGCATACTATTTCATTTAAAGCTCAGGCATGCAGGTTTTACCAAACTATTTAAAAAAAAAAAATTAGAGAGCCTTCCTCCAACAGATTTGCAAGACAAATTACTAATCTTAGGTCTCAGCTCAATCCTTAGAATCAGCTTTGGTATCCGAAATTGTTCATTAACACACTTGATACAAGGGCTTGGATAGCTTGTTTTGCTAGAATCATTTACCATCACCACCAAGTTTCCATCTTAAAATAATGTTTTATAACTTGAAGAAAACTTGCTATCAGTGCAGATATTACAATGAAGTGCATTTATACAACCTCTTGGGATAAAAATAGCTTAGGGGCAGCTCTTACTCCTCCTATACTAGGAATACCTCAAAAGAGAAAGCTGCCAAGCTTCTTGGAGAAGGTTAATAGTGGAAAGTGAACTTGTCTCCCTCAATACAAAACCTCAGAAAAAGCAGCATTAGAAGTACAGTAACTCTATAAAGTGTATTTTTAATCTTGCCACTGACACTTATAAGAAGAACTGCAGAAAAACAAAACTTCTCCTGTAGGGGATTAGTCTCACTGTAGCTAGAGCAGTTCCACACCATAAATCCTTACCAGATTAGCCATTTTGCTGACAAGAGATATTAAACCAGAAAATTACTGTTTCAGTTAATGTTGATGGAGAAGAGGGCAGAAATGCTTTAGCAGGATGACACTGCTTCTGGGCAGCATGTGCCTCATCAAGGACATGTACAAGCCGTCCTGCCTGGCCCCGCTAGTACAGGCAGCAGCCACGCAGCACCTGGTTTCCAGCCACACTATCTGGTGTGACTGCCTATTATAGGAGCATTCTCAGTTTACTCATAAACCTCTCCCATCTTGACCACACGTTTTTTTGCTCCCCTTTAATAGTCCTAGCAATCATGTGGTCACAGGACAAGTCAGCTTGACTCACTTATCTAAGAGACCTAATCCTACAGCAGAGTGTTTCTGTTCAATTCTGCAAGTGGGACCCACAGGGCCTATCCAAGCTAATCTGTGCTAAACAAGCAGAGAAGAGCCACGACCACTAAGTTACCTTTCCAGAATAAGGAACTTGGCTGTTACTTCCTTTCCTCCTCTCAAAATACCACACATGCATCATGGCTGAAATTAGGCCATGAGCTTGGCATTGTGCAGATACTCTTGCTGGAAAGTATTCTTTTGTTATGCTAGTTTAAAAAAAAATAATCAGAGGGAAGACGCTACCTTGATTAAGAGTAAAGGTTTGTAGTTATGGGCACAATGAAAGTTAGTCTCACAGAATTTCTACTACTCTTTTTTTTAAAAAAGGGCAACATACACAGCTTTGCTCCTGTCCTTTATGAGAAGTGGACTGGAAAACCCAAACACTATATACCTAATTCTACAGCAACATATTAAAGATGTTTTGAAGAGTTTCTTTAAACATGGTGTTTAAAGGGGATCTCCTCCCTGGCCAGCTGGTGAGCCAGCAGGGGGAGTGCCCACCTCATGTGTGGGGCTGCTCTGAGGATACAGCAGCCCCTACAAAAACCTCCAGCACAATATCAACCAGGGCCAGAACCCAGCACCCTGCTACCTACAGAAAAAATAATTCATGGTAAATTGTAGTGTTTCGATCCAGTTTTCCTTGGATATCAGATTCTGACCATATACTAGTTTAAGTACTTTTTCAGTTTGAAAAGGCACTTGTCAGCAGTACAAACCACAAATGTAAGGGTGCATACCTTCCAGAGCAGCTCACACTCCCGCTCTTCCAAGGCCTTCTTATGTCTAGTAGTCACGACTTTGACTTCAGACTGTACCACCTTCGCTTTCATCTCAACCTGCTCCGCCACAGCCTGGGCCTGTTCAATACTCAGCTGTGGAGAAAAAAAAAAGACAAACACACTTAAGGCTCGACCAAACCAATTAAAAATGCATCAGAGGACTGCTGCTTACATTTCACTACACCTTCAAGGGAAGGCATAAAGTGACAACTCTTACTTTCTTATCAGGCCTTCATCTGTTTCATACACTGGAGCCTAAAGACTGACATTAGTTTTTAAATACATCTATTACATGGAGTTTACACCTTCAATGTATCATGCATCAACACCCTAGGACTAAATTCCCTGTGCAATTCCAGCAAGCAGCTAGTATGGTAAACAAGAGACTGGCACAGAAATTCATACTAATGTTTTACTACATATAGAAAACCCGGTTTGTCTACTCCCTCCAAACAGTTCAGACTCTCACTGTGTGATGGGTCTGCTTCCAGTAACAAATTACACTGTAGGGAACAGTCTATGTTGTCTATGCATCTGAAATACCCCCAACAGAACGTGAAGTTAATCAATTTTAAAAGAAAAATCAGACAGTTATCATTAAAGAGCAGTCATACAGTTGTTTACAACTCAGAGACCAAATTCTTTCTAGTGTAACCTCGCAATACTAGTATTTGAAAAACATTCTGTAGTAGTATTTTGCAAATATGCATAATGCACCTGGAAAGGAATACATCTCTCTTCTCCTCTCAAATTAAGAACGGTTTCCTCAAAAAATCCTTCCCAAACTACTCGCAGTTTCATAGAATATTACAGAAAGAGGCATAAAATCAAATAAAAAAAGCAGGTAAATCTTATGTTTTTCTTACACATCTGAGGAACTAGTCCATTTCATAACCGGGGGTAGACTTCAACCTGCCTTCTCACAGTTTCTGGCAGGCAAATTTGACTTAACATTTAAAGTTGACAAAAAATTAAAATCTCATTACACATTTAGCAAATGAAGGCAGAAATGGCCCCAGATTAAGGTTTCGTAAGAGCCAGTAAACCTCAGGCCTAGCTGGAAGAGTCCACATGTAAGAATACTGTGCCTCTGTCACCTCTGCTTTGCCATTCAAATACAGAACCTGCTTCTACTGCAGGGAAAAGGTATGCATTTCTTCCAAAACAGACCTGGATTCCCATCAAGTAGGGCAAAATCCCCTCATTCTCTTACAAAGAGAAAGATGCATCTCCCTGAGAAGTGTTGTGCTATCCAGTCATATTCCAGTTCTAACAAGGATGTCTGTGAAAGCATGAAAGTCTGGGTTACTTATTTGTGCTTTGTGTATAGCAGTACCCATTAGAACCATGATCTGTGTATATGCTTCCTTCATACCTTACAGACAAGAGCAATCCCAAATTCCCTTGTGATTCTCCACTAAAACCAGAGTCCACCTTTCAAGAACTCCACCATAGCAGGAGAGGTAGCAATTCCCCATGGATGCTGCAATCTTTCAACTTTAGGAACCAGTTATGGGTAGGGCAAGTAGCTAAACTCAATAGCACAAGGTTGTCCATCAACAATTTATGTCATCATCTGAATTTATTTTTACTTGCCCAAGTATCAACAGCTCAGATCAGTGAGAGATGCCCAAAACACTAAAGCTCTAATATTGTCCAGGATATTAGTAAAGCTTTGGTAAAATTCAGATGATTCTGGACTCTGCTCATTTAGGCTAGAACAGCCTAGGAGGATGACCAGTTGACCAAATATGCAGAGGTATGGGGGGGGGGGAATAGCAATAGACAAGTTATCTATATTTGAAGCAAAAACAAAGAGCATTAAGTATAACTTTTGGGAGCCTACTTTACATGGAAATCCCTTGTTCACTTTGATTCCTGTAAGATGTCAGAGTTCCGCCACGAAAACTCACTCCTGCTGTTCTACAGGCATTTCCTGTGTGGAACTTGTCTCAGAGAGGTCAACTTTTTAGGAAACATGCTAAGCAACAGTGTTTCTTGTTCTGGTCAAACACCACAGAATCTTTTTAATAACTTCTTGTAAAGAAAAACTGCTTTTATGATGCACTCTCCTCATGGTATGTCATGATTTTTCCAGCGCTAGTGAATAAGATGGTCAACCAGTTCACATGTTTGGGAGATAGAAAGCAAGGTCTGTGTTTAAGTCAAGAATTGTGCTGAGTTATTGAATCTGAGATGGAGAACAACTGCCTTGTTTATTGCTGTTGGCCAATACAGTAAATCGCCTATTTGCAGCTGTGCCTATTCACTTGTGGTTTCTCAGGGTTCCAAAGACAGCCAATACCACCCCTCATTTTATTAGAGATGTCACCAGTGCCTTGTGTTTGTTAAAAACAAGTAGAACACTTTGCAATGTATCTTGTAAACCTTAGGGTTGAAAATGGTACTTCTAATTCCTCAGAGTAAAATTTAAGTAGCAACAGTGCTTATGCAGGTGATATGGTTCCAGAGGGCCACAACACAAGGAAACTTTGCACATGGAGCTTCCAGTGGAGCAGACAAAACTGTTCTCATGAAGGAAAGCAGTGTGGACATCCATTACTAGCTATTGCTACCAGCACATTTCAGTTTTGAGTAACAAGTGAAGGGCAAAGTTGTATTGGAACCCAGGCATCCTTTGCAAGCTCCCTTTAGGTGGGCACCTCCGTGAGATCCCCTTCATCTACACTTTATTGCCTGAGAGAAAAAGTAGTAATGATCTTACTACAGTGACTCTGACACAGCTACTGATGCTACAACACAAATCTATGAATAAACCAACTGCAAGAGTCAGAAGAAGTAAAGTAGCATTGTAGAACTTGGCTGCACTTCTGGATGTCTGTCTGGGCTGGCCAGAGGGGCCCAAATCAGGATTTGCCATTCTGTAGAATGGCAGTTTCAGTCAGTTTTCACACTTCCTGTCTGCTGTTGGACATTAGGAAATGGACCCTCAAGTTACAAAAAACTTCCTACAATTTCATGTTAACTTAAACATTCCCATGGAATATTTAGTGTTCTAGAAATATCGCTGCTCCAAGTTTTCGCTACTGGTTCTTTAAATTAAAAATTACGATCGGAAACATATAACACTTCAGGAGAAAGAAAAAACTACTACAAAGCTTGTGTTCTGACAGACTACAAACAAGAACAGAGTGACTTTAAGGGTGCTGATGCTCTCACTTCATGGTTTCCACTGTCCAATACTCAAACTAAATCAGTACGTCCACAGTTACATCCACACAGCACAGAGTTATTTGAAGAGGTTAACTTAGGTCTCTGAAACAGCAGAGCCTCTTAATCCAGATGCTGAGCCATGATAGATTACATCAATTCAGTTCTGAAAATTATCCAATTGAACAAACTGCAGCACAACATGCCACTGTACCAGCACCATGAGATATGTAAAGGCTGCTTTATAGTAACTGTATTGCCATGTTGGCTTGTGTGAACATTTTTGAAAAGGTCCCTAGGATTTTTTATTCCACCCATCTGAAGAAGAGATGGATGCATAATTTCTCAGGCATTAATTCCTATATTTAAGTCTCCTATTTTAAGTTTTCCAACGAAGGTGCAAACACTGGAGAAAAAATTCAAACTTAAAAGCAAATTTTGTTTTCTTCTGAGGAATTCTTCAATATTTCAGGGGTGAATGGACCACAGGTATTGGCTAAAGAATCTTAACTATACACTTCCCTACATCACTAGGGAGGATTTACACTTCAAGGAATTTAAGACTAAGTTATCCCTGCTTAAGGGGGGGAAAAAGCAGAGATGCCTATTCATTAACAAACTCCTCTCCGGCTTTTAAAAGCACATTAAATAATAATAAAAAGAAAAAACAAAACAAAAAACCAAACCACTCAAGGAAACCTTTTGGTATGTCTCAAGTTATCCCTCTTCCACCAAATGGAAGGTGTTCCAGCCATAAATGGTTTGTTTTCAGTTCCTTATGGTAACAAAAAGATACAATGGGCTTGTTTCACTAAGTTTCCAGTTACTTATCACTGTTTCAGAGCAGGATAAAACCAGGACATAACAGCAGTCTTCCTTCAGCATCAAGAATTGGATATAAATTTCCTAATGTTCTTATACTAGAAAAATTAACTGGAAGATCCTACAGAGTATAGTTACAGTAAAGACACTAGTATTAACAAGCTCAGCAGTGCATCTGCAGTAATACTGGTGCAGATATAGCACAAATCACAGTAGCTGGACCAATTTACATGTTTCAGCCTAATAAGCATAAAACACTAAACCATTCTGAAAGTTCCCAACAAAGACAATTTTAAAAGAAGCTTTGATGGAGGGAGGGCTAGAGGCCAGGTGACCTCATGTCAGATACCACTAAACAATCATTTTGGTTTGTATGGCAAGAACAGACTTTTTGCCTACAGTTCTAGGCAGAACAATAGTTCGGACAGCGAAACACATCAAATTCATCTTCCCCAATAATCATCTGCTCATATGCTGCACTAAGGAACCCACTGAAATACAACACAAAACAATAACTAGAAGTATGAAGAAATTCAGCCTCTATTGATAAAAATCCCAGATTTAGAAAAGCACAATTGACTCCATTTTGTTTACAAAGTTTCATTTCAGATTCTCAAACCCGCAAACCTGACTTCAAAGCCACACACAAGGGGGCCTGAGCTAACTCAAAGTGACAACCCAAAACCGATCCCTTGCAGCACAGCGGTGCCATCCTTCTCAGGTATCGACCTCCCAGCAGCACAGATCCATATGGCAACCCACAGGGAAGCTTCCACTGAAGGGCAGAGGCTCAAGGCAACAGATCAGCTTCCTCTTGTGGCTGGCTGAGTTTCTTACAGTATCCCCTCGCCCCCCATAAAGGCGCTAATCTACTTCATACCACCTCCTCCACAATTTGGGAGGGAAGAGGCATTGCCTTAATGTCTGACCTGCCTTACCACCCGCTCCTAAGCTTTTCATGACGGTAGATAAGAGAGTAGCTCCCACTATGTTCTGCACATGACCAGTCTCACTGGTCAGTGAGAAGCTTGCACTGTCAAACATCCCAGCAAAACCAATTATAGGCTCAGCTATAGAGGAATTTGTTTGTTTTCCAACAAAACCACTTTTAAGACAACTGAGATGAATAAATCAAATCTTATTGTAATATGTTCACCTGGAAAATTAACCCTAAATGGGAGTGAGCACTCAGTGCTTTACTGTTAGGCAAGTGCATTAGATTACACGCATACATACATACATATATACAGTTACACACGTATAGATGTATTTTAAGAACGTGACATTTTGAAGAAGCCATCTATCTTTCATCATAACAGATTTACGTTCAGTTTGTGACCTAGTCCTTGGAAAAAAATCTGAAAGAAGACAGCTAAGTGTGCACTTTCACGAGGTAAAACAAGGCAGCAGGACATGCTCCCCGCATAGAAAGGCAGCAAGCAGTCCTGATTCCTCCCACCTCATTAATCCAGTGTCAGCTTTGGCTTTCATATCATCCTATGAATCCATCTGAGTCTCTGAAAAGGCTGGAAAAGTATCCCAGCAAGGAGGATAGCTTTCCACTGAGATAAGAAAGAGGTCCTACAAGCAACTGAGTTGGGTGTTTCTGCTTCATTCCCTGGCACCATCACCAGTCCTTGTAGCACTACAACCAGGGGGCTGACCCAGCCAAAAATTAATCCCATGGAAAGGTTACCCATTCAGCTGGATCAGCTCACCACACAGGCACACAACCACAAATTCTTGTGTTAGGGACAGGTTTAGAAATGCATGATTCTGACCATCGTGGCACAGGAAAGCAGAGAAAGTTTTCCATTGCTACAGAATTTCACTGAGAAAAAAAAAAAAGAGCAAGCCACTCGCTATCAAGGCTTGCTATTTCTTACAGAGGACTTCGACTCCTTTGAAAAGTGAGGTTTGGACTTTTCTGGAGTGACAGACTACATCAGGCTTCAGTGGATCAAGAGGCTGAAATGTATCCCAACTCACAGCAAATTTTTTAAGTCTGAAAAACAATCTTTCCTCCAAAGCCACAGGAAGAGTTTAAATAAACATTTCTTCCTAAAAGCCTTCAACTTTGGTTAACCAGATACTCTCCAGCCAGTTGACTCATGGCTTGATTTCCTCTCTCCTGCAACGCCCTTCAAATTCCACCTTTTCCCCTTTACTCTCAACTATCCCTCCTCATCCATCCTCAACATCTCATGTCAGGGGAGCTATCACTTTCAGAGCCTATTAAGAGTTTCTAGTACAGCATTAGGAATCAGTCAAACTAAGAAGTGTTACTACAACATATTACTTTTCAAGCCTCTTAGAGCTCCAGTCTGAGAGGAGCTCTAAAGTAATATGTTCCTCATATTACAGCTTGTACTGGCATTTAATTCTCTGTTGACTATTTCCATACTTTAAGAAAACCACACAAGCCAATTTCTTTTAATTTAGAGTCTAGTTAACTTTAGAGTTTGTTTCAAATTCATGTTGACATGCTGTCTTCCTCCTTAGGATAAACTTATAGCTTCACAGTCCTGTTGTCCCAACAAGGAAAGTTCTGCTTTATGTAAACTTGATGCAGTTTCATTGCATCAACCCTTTGAATTGGGCACCTTTGATTTTAAGTCACGTGCTCTTTTAGTTGCTGCTGATGTTGCTTCAGCAGTAGCTGTCTAGAACTGAACAATCTTCCCATTCCTGCATATGCACATACAGATTACCACCCCCTCAAATTTATAATCTGTTTGCTGACTACCCTTCTTCTTTACAGTGATCCAGATTAAAAAGACCACTAAACCAATAAAATAACTCAGCTCTTGAAAGCATGGTTCATTTTACAGATCTTTACAAGATGCCCATTTAACACTTCCAAGATAGCCTCTTCACCTGGATGGGCTGTGTAGTGAGACCAGGGCGAAACTGTACAAACTTAAATTCAGCAGAACTGCTTGTTCCAGTTACATGAACATAACCAGTACCATCACCTTTTACCTGCCCCATCAATGCAATAATCAGCTCACCACAATGGCAGGAGCCTCCACCATAAAAGCCAGAAGAAAATGGGGAAGGACCTCACAAAGTAAACCCAGTAGGAAGGAAACCAGGCACAGGAGCATTCATGCAATACTAGCAGAGTGGTACTCAATGCTATCCCTGCTCATTTTTACTCCAAGGCACAGACCCTTCTTCAGTGATTTAGCCTCACCTGTTAGATGATTAAGAGCCCTGGAGGTCAAAAGCAATAATTTAATTACTAACAGACAAGCCCTTGTCTAGGACAGCCTGGAGAAATTCAGAACACTGCACCACTGCACTGAACTCTGATGATCTTTAAACTAGCATAATCCCTTTCTTCTTGCTCATTTTGGGGACATGTGGGATATTTTGGGGACAGTATGGATACTGCTGGTGAGCCTTATGATTCAGATTAAAACAAATCTTGGAAGAAATTAAGTTTTGCAGGACTCTGCTTTAAGGTAGAGTTTTAAATTAACCACCCACCTGCAAAAACTTGGTGTTTACTGTTCTGTTGTAACAAGTTAACATTGCAAGCTAAACGGAGACACCAACAACTGTTTACTATCTATACCATCAAGTATTACTTCATTCCACAGAGGTAAAGATTAATGAGCAAAGGGTTAGCTGCTCCTGTCCCATGGAACAAGTTTACTTCCCTCATCTAGTAGAAAGCAGTGATGGGTGGACAGTGAGCTTTGGTTTATTTTAATTATTGTTTATACTGTGCATGTGCCAGAAAGTTAGTCTACTTCCTATCCATGACATTCTACAAACGTTTACTCAAAAAAATCTTATTAGTTAAAGCACATAAAACTGTTGAGTTTTGTTATATCCAGCTCAAGTTTAGAACATGAGATTCACAAATCTACAAGGCAGTAGATACGGAGTGAAGTTTCCCACTATGCTTTCCAGATCCAAAGTCTACCTAAACAAATAAAATTACTGCTAGTATCATAGTAGTTACTGCTAGGTATTACTCAGCAAAAGTATCTACATGCCACTGCAGTTCAATTCCCTGTGTAAATTCCTTTTCTAGTTTGAAGCACTATACTACCCTCATTCCAGATATTTATATTTGCATTATTAAACATAGCTGAGGTAGAATAGAATAACAGGCATACTATACATCTGTGTGTGCAGAATAATCCTTGAACAGAGATAGCTCTAGGTGGTCTCTGCACATGCAGGTTAGAAATTTCACACTAATTCCAACAGCTGATTAGTATTTTGTATTTGGTGGCAACACTTAAGACATAACTAGTCAAAGGTAGTTAAAGTGCTAGATGCTGTACAGGCAGGAAAGATGCTAAAAAGAAGTCTTTGTGATAAAAACAAAACCAGGTTTGGCACCGCTACACAAGACCAGAGCTTTCTTCATAATGCTTCACACCCAAGTGCATTTGTACAGAGCTTCATATATATTGTGATTTACATGACAGGATTATGCTGCAAGAATGCAAAACTCATAACAGCACTTTATTTTCAGCTCCACCACCACTTCTGTCAGAGATCTGAGAAAACAGAAGGGGTGAGAAGACTGACAGCAGAAGCAGAGAGCTTTTTGCCTTGACACCTTGCCCTGTAACAGACAAGCTGGGGGGGAGGGGGGAGAAGGAGGGGGAAATAAAGTACTCAAGTTGGGAGTATCTTACTTGAATAGCCTGTCGTCCTTGCTGAGCATCTGCCAGGAGCTGAATGGTGAGAGTCCTGGAATCCTGTAGGGCATCTTGGAGGTAGATAAAGCTGTGACCCACATGTCGTCCCATGGTACATTCACGACATATGGGGACAGAACAGGTATCACAGTAGAAATGCAGTACCTTTAAGGAGAAAAAAAGAAATCTGTGTCATTATTTAATGAAGAATTAAAAAGAAAACAGAACCAGAATGTAAAAAAATCCAAAAGCTCAACTATAAAGGAGATGGTTAGAGGCAGTAGCAATAGGCAAAGACCTCACAATAGTTCCTCCACAGAGGAAGAGCTATCCTTCCCAGTAAACTCCAAATCATACCCTAACAGTAAGATGGAAGTATCCTTGTTTTCTTTGCAATACAATAGTAGGAAGAGTGTCCACAACAGCTCCTCTTAAGAGCGGAAGCCATCTGCCAACACTTGCAGATTGGAGATGCCATCTAAGGCAAGTTTCAGGTGAAGACTTTTCCTGCATAAACAAACACCACATTCTCTTAAGTGGGTCATTCAATAATCAATACACTGGAGAACCACAGCACCAGCACTCCCACTCCCCAATAAAGAGAAAACAAAATCATGCATGCAGAAAACCATCCTCTATGTTTTCAAAATATGCAAATCCCTTATGTCCAGGGCAGCAACAATATTAGGCAAAACTGCCCCCCTGCCACTCCCAACAGCAAAGCAAAAAACCTTTGCTATGATGGTGTTTCCATGCTAGTGATGCTTCAAGATGCTCGAGCTGGAAGAGACTGGAACCTTAGCATGCCCATCATTTGAATGCCACAGTGAACTGTGGGTAACCACTAATATCCCATTCTATTCACAAAGCATTTACAAACCCTACAGTCAAATCACAATGAAAGTCTTACACCAAGATGTTAGCCTAGAAAGCTGGATTCATTCATCAGCTGTAACTGTTTCCATTCCATCCAGTAGAGGGAAGTAGCACACAGAATTAGCATCTTCCATGGACATGCATTTTCTTACAGGGGAGCAGAAGCCAGCTGTATTGTTTTTTGTTTTCAAAAATCCAAATGAATGAGTACAACACTTCAACACGAGAAAGTTCTGTACTGAAGTCTTGCCCTTAACTACATACACTACTTTTCTCAACAGCATAATGTCAGAAAATCTAGATTATCGTTCAAGAGTACAATGTTACAAGGTTTTGTTCTGCAAACAACTTTTCCATCACCGGATATTTCAAGTCTACCTCACAGAAAGGAGCAAGAGCAGAACAAAGATTGGACATGTGTTCGATATGCCTGTCTTCTCCCAGCTGTCATCCAGCCACTCCCAATTCCAGCTAGCAGTTTGTGATATGGTGCATAACATCCCCCTTTCTGTTCTCCCTCAAAAGGAAGGGGAAGGACAGGACAGGTGATTCCCTTGGACTGCCTGTGCTGCATAAAGTGACATTTTAAGTTCCTGTAAGTGCAACAGCTGAAGTGGTATATGGATTAATTTCTCAAAGGGTTATGTGTGTGTTTGTGCACATGTCAGATTTTACTAAAACTCCTTGTTTTTCTTTAAGTTTTACTGTAGGGAAACTGAATGGACTTATGTTTTGCTTCTGTTCAAATAGTAAACCCTCAAGCAGTAAGTATCTCAGAATCTCTGACTTTACTAAGTAAAAAGCTGCCTTGGCTCCAAAATGCATTGCTTAAATGCATCATCTTCCTCAACCAGAGGCCTCCTTGTCTTTATGTGGCAGTTGTCTAAATCTGTATACAATGTTCACTTGCACATGCAGTTCTGTAATTTTTCTGTTAAAATTACAGGGAACTTTTATTACATATGCCCGAATAACTCCACTTAGACAACTGAGAAGTTGAGAGAGAATGAAAACCAAGACAGGGTATCAAGTTAAAGTCATATGAATCTGATATACTTTAAAAACATACAGCAGGGATTTGGGGCCTCAGTCAAGTAGAGCAGCTGAAAGGAAAATGGTGACCATATGACAGAAGACCAGAAGCAAATCAAATCTGTTATTAGTCCTCCACAATAGTCAATACCAGAAGCAAAAGCTTGGTCACTCCTGCTGCAAGGAGCCACCCCAGACACTCCTGCTGAAAGGTAACAGCATCCACTGGGACAAAGAAAAACCAAGTTTAAGCTGTTCATTTGCCTCTTGTCACCCACCAAAATGTGGTGGGAAACATCGTTCTTAAATTTAGAATGAAGAGTGACAAGAGCCATAATCTCATTTCAGAAATATGTAGATTACATAGGACATGGCAGGGGAAGGTCTTGGGTAAATACTACAGAGCCATTGATAAAGCCTCACATTTGTTTCTTTGTAAAACAAAACCAGTAAAAACAACCTAGATTTAATCTAAGAGCAAAAGAGTTAACAGGTTTGGGCAAAAAGAAGCATACCGTGATGGATGGACCTCCATCATTACACTGTTACCTTAAACATATGCAAAAGCACAAATGTGTTACCCCTACTGCTCTCAGTGGGGTAGGGAGCTAGTCACCAGAAGAGAATTTAAAGTCAGCCAGCTTCAAAATGAACTAGCAACTCCTCAGAATCTCCTTTCTGCACACAAAGACTACAACAGAATCCCCAAACTTGGCAGAGGTACAAGGGCAATCTCACATACTTGTCAGGAGCATCCAACAGGCTGTACATCAGCTTTACCCAGCAAAGGGGGCACGCTCCCAGAGAATAAAACTGATAAGTCCCCAGATGTGCAGGGCACAACAGGGAGGGGGATTTGTGCCAGCTGAGCTAAGGGGTTTGGGCACAGCATCCAGCTTGCCTGTGCTTCCAACCACAACCAGGCATTTACTGTTAAGCTCAAGCCTGCTCACATCCCAGTCCCTAGGTCATGGCCACAAAGGTCACATACTGCTAGATTAAGTTTCTGTGCCTGTTTCTAAATGGGGGGAGGGGGAAGGGAAGAGGGAGGAGAGGAAGCCAAATCTCCCCCTTTAGCCCCCACCCACCAAACAAGCAACTCCCTGTAAAAATCATACCAACAATATATGTAGGGCAATCCACAAATGTGTTCTCAGCTCAGATCTGATGCACGTACAGCGTACCTAAAATGTTGGCAGAGTTTCCCCTTCTTCCAATTTCAGCAATGTGAGAAGGCCACCCTACATTTCATTTGCACTGTTACTATAGCATCATCCTGCTCTTCCTATGCTCATTGTAAGACAAATAACAGGACTCATATTTAAGTGTGGAAAGGCAGGAATAGTAGGAGGAAATGGAAGAGTAATACTAGGCCTTCCTTAGCAGACATCAACTTTAAATAAAAAAAATAATCCCCAAATACCCTAAAAAAAAAAAAAACCCCACCCAGAAAAGACAAACAAACAAACCCCACATAACAGTACTTCAGAGGAAAGTCCTGTAAGTTCCCCCCTCCACATCTGAAGAGGCAAAGATGATACAAACCAAAAGATCTATCAAGCTGTAAATTAACTGTTGTCCTGTTAATTTCACTATTTACCCAAACGTATGAAAAAATGGTTTATAAGCAAATACCTTCAAATAATGCTTGTTTTTTCCAAACCATGCAAATGTTCTGATGGGCAGCAAGGAAAGAAAGGAGAAAGCAGAGACAGACTTCTCCTTTCAAAAAAATTAACAGTGTGAATTGCATTTCATGAACTCTTTCTTTCTGTGGTATAATTAAGTAATTAAGTAAAAATATAATTAAGATAAAAACCGCTGCCTTTCCAACACCCATTTTGTTAACGATCCAGTAAGGGGAAGAAGATTAATAAGCAAGTTAAGTAGCTTTTTTTTTAAACTGCTCCACTACATTAATTAGTATTTTAGAATTTCCAACAGAATTAAATGAAGATAGAAGTCAGAAGGAAGAGAGGACTAGTTTTAGAGATAGTTAAAAGTGATTTATTTTAAAATAAATCAGCTGTGGGTTGATTACTTCCCAAACAGGAAATATTTCCTGAATTGGTGGCATACAATTTTAGACACAAAACAATAAAGGGAGCCTACTTCAATTTAAACAGAATCAGTGAACCATGTTACAGGGCTATTCATCTTTTACAGCCACAGCAGCCCAAGAAATACAACAGCAAGGCCATAAATGTGATTGCTTCAGGAAAGGCTGTACAGTGCACCGTAAAAACATTTTACAACAGCAGGAATTCCTGGGTGTCGCTCTCCCCATTTTTTGGTCCATCTGCTTTCAAAGGGGGCAGGGGGATGGGCGGAGATGTTGTTAAACGTCCCCCGGGACTGCACAGCAATCAATCATCATCTGATGAATGGCCACTAAAGTTAAACCCTGACCCCACTCCACAATTCCCACACCAGCCCTTCTCTCCTTACTGTTGACCAGCTTCCAGCATGCCCCCCCACCTTCCAGCCCTCACCAAAATTTCCCAAATACCAAGCCCAGACAAAAGCAATGGAATGTAGTAGGCACCATGACAGAGGAGAATTCAGCAGAAACAGCATCTGAGGAGGCTTATCCTTAACCTGTGTTTAAATAAGTGTTCTTTCAGCAATACTCACAGTGCCCTTCTCCTCCCAGCTAGAAAACACTTAAATTCTCTCATTTTCAGAGCTTGCATGCAAGCAATCGACAGTAATGCATGGGGAATCTAGTCACGTAAAAAACATTTGTTTCTGTCATGACTTTTCAGTGTCTTGCGAGGATTTTATTTAAGCCTACAGTGTTAAGAATTTGTGTAAGGCAACAACACATAAGGTCACATTACTTTTAAAATGCAAGTCTCATGCTCTAAAAAGCTACCCCATAATCTTAATCAACAATAAAAAAAAAGCCTACAGACAAAACAGTGGCCTCTTGGTTTCTACTTTTGGAAAAGTTTCAGTATGGCACTTGTAGGTTAACTTAGTTTTATTTTATGATTCCCCCCCAAAAAGAAGTCATACTTACCATAGCCAAGTTTTCCATTACTGAAGGTGTTTTATTATCAAGTTCCCTTGACAGTAACTCAAACACCAGTGACTTTGTTAGGTAGTGTGTAAGGCTTAGATGACTGGGTTTAGTAAAAAGTAGTGTTCCAATGAATTTTGGTCCTACTTCCTTAGCACTTTGGGTGTTTTTTTGCTTCCCTCCCTGGAGAAAAAGCTGCTTCCCTGCATGCAGCAATTTTTTTTTTTCC